CCTACTTAGCAAGCACTGAAGTGATGTGTTCTGTGTGCTAGTTCAATTGTTTGTAATATCTTGCTTTAATATTTGAGTGATGGATTCTTGTAGTTGTCAACCAGCATGACTGCTTAATAAGATCTCATTTATAGAACATATATGTTTGTATTTTTCACATCTTAATCTTAATAAATGTAATTTACATATATGTTTTCTCTGCTTTCCTTTTGAAACAAAGGTGCATTAATAATATTAACACAGATTGTTTTTTTTTTGTTTGTTTTTTAAAAAGAACTATCAACGACCTTAGTTTCTAAATTTTGTTGATTGACATGCTGGGTTAGATGTCCATGTTTTATGTGAAACATGATCCAGCTGCATTACTCCCCATTGTGTGCTAGGGAAAGTGTTAGCTACTTTTAACTATCTCCAAAATCCTGAAGAAAATGGAAAATGTGTAACCTGCCAGATTTTGTGCTACTGTGAAATAAAGCATGAGGCCTGTCTTTGTCATATTCTCTACATTTCCTGTGACTTGAGAACACATGTTGAGAACCTTAAGTAGCAAAATGCACCATCTCACAACCTAATCAGTTAAGTGACAGTTGGCAACTTGTTGGGATCCAGAGGAGACTGCAGTACATTACAGCATGCAGGATAGCTGAGCCATTGTGCGTTTAAGCGATGGAGTTATGTGGCACAACTTGGCAGCATGCAGTAAACACCTACCTGTTTCCTTCTGCCGTAAGGGACTGTTAGTTCACTGAAGCATCTTTGCAGAACTTGGAACATGATGTCATTGTCACATTCTCAGATGGCTAAAAACATGTTGCATAGCTGAATGTTACAGCAGGGGTTAAATCTATATTTCCCCCAGTTTGTGCTGCAAAACAGACCAATTGTTTATGGTCACAATGATGGCCCTTAGTTGCCTGGTTCCCTGACGCCAATATTATGAGACATGTTCCAGTTTAGAGTTTACAATAAGTTAGAATTCTCTTGTGTTTTATTTGCTATATTGTATCACCTTAAGAACTCACAACCTACAGTGAGGAGGCCTGATTGATTCAGTATGATGGCACACATGGCAGGACTTTTTTCTTGCTAAAACACATTTTTTTTTTAAGCACGCAAGCTTATTTGTCTGGAGTCACGATGTAGTTGTTGAAAACGTTTTGTAAAATCCGGCATAAGTGCTGTAGATGAAACCATCTGTGACACGAATATCCATCCCATTCGTAATAGGACACAGCACTAATCATAACGTGGAGAAACAAATGTGCCCATCAATTGATGATTTCAGTAGGCTGTAGATATTATAAAGCCACAATCATCATGTTCAGGTATATGTGCCCTTTTTTAAAAATCCATTTGTTTAACTCTTTATCTTTCTTTTAGCATCCAAATTTCAGGAATTGCAAACATTGGTTTTACAGTATGCTCACCATTTTGTTTCCACGCAGACACCCCTGCAAACAATGAGTATGGAGGGTGACAATTCTAGAACAAATCCTAGTTCTTTTATGTGTATGAGATGCAGGTTAGCTTCACTATCCAGCAGCTAATTCCCTTGTGTCTTCAGGCTTAGAGGCTATCGAAGTAGAGTGCAATTTCTTGGGTAGTCGACTTGCAGAAATCCCATTCAATTCATCCTGTAAACGGCAATTGGCAGGACTTGGATTATAGTTGTGTACCTTTTAAATGAAAGACATGTTAGCTATAGGTTCAACTAGGTTCCTTACAAAATGAGAACAATATTACTTAAAATGTTTATATGTAAGCATACAGTGTATTAACAAAGTGCGTGTGTGAGTGAGTATATATGTGTGTGTGTATGTATGTATATATATATATGTGTGTGTGTGTGTGTGTATGCAAATAATTTCATGTGCATGTATGTGAAAAATCCTGCTATTCATCTTTGAGATTTTTTTCTCTCCCCCTCCTAAATGCTGCCAAACACATGACATTTCTATGAAGCTGGTGTAGATATTGTTTTAGTATTACCTGATTCTTAGCCTGTCGGTTGCCAGCATTTCATACTGTTTACATAGCTCGCTAGCTTGCAGCAAAGGTGGTGAAGTGCACATCTCCTGTACTATGCGATGATAATGTCTGGAATTAATGGAACTTGTACATTGCCTACTTTGAATGATGCATGTGTACATTGATTTGCTTTCAGTTAATCACACTGGATGCTATGCAAATAGGTTCTTTGACATCTATATTCAGTGCTTGTCTTAGTTGTATACATGATCCTATCTATCTATCTATCTATCTATCTATCTATCTATCTATCTATTTATCACAGAAATCTCAATGTATCCTTTCTGGTAAAATATATTATAAATATAAACATATGTGTGAGTGTACATATAAAGTGTGTATATGTGTGCTCTCTTTTCTGTCTCTCTATATATAATGTCATCATATAACATCAGTGATGTGATCAGTATAAGACTTTGCCCTAATTAAAATATGTACTGCTGCAGTCAGTGATTATTTTATGCCAATTTGTATGTTTCAGTGTCTGAAAAATATGCAATATAGCTTGTAAATGCTGCTTTCATTTTCTTTTCATTAGGATATTTCTATATTGTTTACATGCAATTTAGGTAAATGAAGAATATATTCAAGTGTCAGCAATAAAGTACACAGAATATCTTACCTCTGCTGAAGATTATAAATCCTTTCTCAACCACTTCCAGCTGCGATTTCCTCATCTTGTTCACTTGTAAGCAGAGGACACTAAAACCCAGGTGCTAAATGTCGCTCCAAAAAATGATCTTAATGAAAAGATGTTCTTATGCTGAGCCATTGTCTCATCATAATGCTAACATACAGAGCGTGCATGGCTGCTTAAAGGCTGCTGTGGTCGTTCAGTCTTCCTACTGCAAAATCAATAGGCATCTGAAAATACATGATGAAAGTAATTTAACATACTGAAGACTGCAGCTCTCCAGAGACATCCTTGTGAATCCTGTCTGTTTTAGAGGAGAGCAGCAGTGACTGTGTAAGGGGAGCTAGTGGTTGGATCTGCTTTTGCAGAATGATTGCCTGCCTCGTTGCTCCCCTTCACTGCAGAGATGCAGTGTACTCACTAATTTTGATTGGCCAGATTTGTTGAGCTTAGTGTTCTTCTGTATATAGGGCTGCATTTTTACATTCTCTCTTACACCACAATTTCAGGACCTTATGGGGAGCTGGTTAAAGAATCCATGAATATTACCCGTACAGGAATATCTATAGTGGACTATATTGAAAAAATGCATGACAAGGAAGACTTTTAGAATTACTCAATTCAATGCAGATATTTTTTGTAAAGATTTTGTTGGATTTTATTATAGCAGGAAAACCCTAAAACCATAACATTCTAAACCTCTCCATTACCTTTATCTGTGTTTTTTATTAAGAAGTGCATGTTATACCCACAGGTTACTCTTCCTATAGATACTAATAAGTATTAAAGCTGCATACTACAGGACTGTGGTGATTTGAACATTATCCTGATGAATATATTTTCCTAAAACAAATGGGGACACACGGTTGCCTTGGTGACATCCCCACATTAATTTTATAAATTGGAAGTTTACAAAATTAGAGCACTTGATCATGCTTAGCTAACGGACATAGAGTTGTCTATAGTTGTTAAAATCTAGTCTAAAGCAGCTGTTCGGGCATGCACAGTTTGTCTACATAAAATTGATTCAGGTATTGATTTGTTTGCATGCAACTCTGTTTTCCAATTTGCTTTTTTTTTTAAGCTTTGAGGCTTGAATAAAACATATGGGAGCTATGTTTAGCATTTTTGTTGTCTAATCTCATATTTTTCAAAGTGTAATTTAATATACGTATATATATATATATATATATATTTTTTTTTAATCCATGTTAAATGTTGGAATTAATGGCCTGTTCTATATCTCTTTACTCCTGTGGCAGATACTGTAAATCAGCTGACTGTATTGACTGGAAATAGAAGCAGTCATTGTTCGTACAGTTAGTGGGCACTCTATGTAACAGTTTATTACAGGGAATATTAGTGGAATGGAAATATAGTATTGTTACATTACACTGTACCTACTTTCTATTCACCTACTAATTTTAGTTTTCTGCATGAGTTGGGCCAGATGAATTGTTGTGAGGAATTACTTCTGAAGCTCAAAACATTGGAATTTAGCTTCTAGTGTCTTGTCTTGGCTGCAAGTTTCTTATTGGTTCAACCAACCCGTGGGAGATGTTAATAATTCTTGAGGTTTCTTGCTCCCCAAGGCTCTTGTAAAGGGTTTCTACAACCCTTTTTTCCATAGAATAGTGCCCTATTATGCATTATTTTCTAGATCTCCTCCATCTCAAAATATGCTTTAAAAGACAAAAAATAAAAATAGGTTTTACGAGGTGGGAAGGGGAGGAATGGAAGTCAATATAGAGCAATGTGAGTGAGCAGTGCATCCACATGAGAGTGATTATAAAACACAACAAAAGCATATACCCGGTGAACAGTTTTCTAACATTTTGCCCACAGTACAGTGGGAGGATAGTAGGATGCAACCCAGAGGCCCCAAAAAGCCGTAACTCCACAAGGGAACTTTGTATGTAACCAGGGGAGGGCTGGCAGCCTTAGGTCTAGGGTACAAATCCAGTCATGTGGCCCATTATACCAAGAGGAGAGTAAAAACACCTATCTCATGTGATTGAAAGGGAGGCAGTCACCTAAACAAACACACTCACTGACAAGCACATGCATACACTCACTGACAGACACGCACCCATGCACAGACAGGCACACTCTTACAGGCATACTGACACATACACACACACACACACACACACACAGCCATACTGGCTAACACTCACACAGACAGACATACTTGCACATACATAGACAGACATACTGACACACACACAAACTTTACACTTTTAAAGCCAGTTTCCTACCTTTGCTGGTACCTTTCCTGGGGTCCAGTGTGCTGGCTAGGGTGCTTGGGAGTTAGGATCTGGCTCTGCTTGCTGACTATCACACTGCCTCCTGGCTCTGCTTCTCTCCCGCACGGCTCATCTCTGTTGGAGGAAGTGACTCACGGTCTACATGCTGCTGTAAAGGGGCCCGGTCGCGCTGTTAAAGGACCACCCGCTGGGCCCCCTTAGTATGCGGGCCGTGGTGCAGAAGCAATACCAGCACTGGGGGATTAGCTGGATGCAGGCGGCCCTAAAAAAATAAAAATTAAATACCGACCAAGCTAATTTGCATAATTCATTATATATGCGTGACATCACAAGGAATAATGTGAGAGAGAAAAAGAGACAATATAGGCACCCAGACCACTTCATCTCATTGAAGTGGTCAAGGTGCACTGTCCCTGCCCCCTTTAGTCCTGCAATGTAAAACACTGTAGTTTCACAATAAATAAATATAGGTAAATGAACAAAGGGTTGTTTAACTCTTAACAACGCTAGGAGTGGGATGCGGGCACTGAAGAACATGTCGGTGTTGGAAATACATCTTTGTATTCCTAACACTAAAGTATTCCTTTAAAAAATATTTGGAAGAGGATAATTACCTAAGTTATTAAAAAAACTGCTTACACTTTGTTTTGCTGTATGTAGCAATTGTACTGCAGTTTGAGTAGCCTGCTCTCCTAAATGCTCATTCATTGGACTCAGTGGCATTCTAGAGGTGTGCCCTGAGTGATGGACAGAAAGGTAAACGATGGAAAGGTGGAGAAGGTGTAGCAACATATTCCACGCAAGCAAGAAGTGTCGGACTGTGCTGCCAGTGCCATTTGCAGTAGTCCGCCACGGAGGAGAGCCAGCCACCATCATAATGGCTGTGCCATCTGACCTTAATTGCAGATAATTGAGCTCTTCTGCTGCAAGGGAACTATGGAGCCTATGGACCTAGTAAAAATGTTATATACACTTCACTTTGTTAAAGGGACACTATAGTCACCTGAACAACTTTAGCTTAATGAAGCAGTTTTGATGTATAGAACATGCCCCTGCAGCCTCACTGCTCAATCCTCTGCCATTTAGGAGTTAAATCCCTTTGTTTATGAACCCTAGTCACACCTCCCTGCATGTGACTTGCACAGCCTACCATAAACACTTCCTGTAAAGAGAGCCTTATTTAGGCTTTCTTTATTGCAAGTTCTGTTTAATTAAGATTTTCTTATCCCCTGCTATGTTAATAGCTTGCTAGACCCTGCAAGAGCCTCCTGTATGTGATTAAAGTTCAATTTAGAGATTGAGATACAATTATTTAAGGTAAATTACATCTGTTTGAAATCATAGCCAGGGGAGGTGTGGCTAGGGCTGCATAAAAACAAAGTGATTTAACTCCTAAATGACAGTGAATTGAGCAGTGAAATTGCAGGGGAATGATCTATACACTAAAAATGCTTTATTTAGCTAAAGTAACTTAGGTGACTATAGTGTTCCTTTAACCTGCACACCCAGAACATGCATTTCTAAGAAGTGGTGCTGCCATAAAGTCCAACATAAATGCAAAATACAAATAAAGGAACAGCACACAGAGAAAAGACATTTAAGTTTAAAATTTTACAGGGCTACAGTATCCCAATATTGGTGAGTCCTACACTAATTTTAACATGGGAAATTAACAAGTTAACTGCAATACTTA